ATTTATGATTTGGGGGTTTATTAGGGAGTAATTGGTTACAATTCAGGGTCAGGGATTACTCAGGCTAGTTCTTCCATTGGGACAGCTTCTTACTTATGCCCGCAGGCTGGTCTTTCCCTGACCCTTTTCCTGACCTTGGGCCCTTGATCCTTGGGGCCTCTTGGGCTAACTGAGCCTCTTCCCTGCTTGATCAAATATTACAAAGAGCATTAGTTCCACTAATAAGTGCTTGCAGGCACCTCACTCATAGGTTCTGACTCAGAGTGACCCTGTGTAGGGATGCTGAGACTGTAAGTCTTTATGGGAGCAGACAGCCTCATCTCTCTCCCGTGGAATGGCTGGTGGGTCTGACCCATTGACCATGCGGTTAGCAACTCCATGCTTATCCCACAGTGCTCCCAGGGCTTGTCAAGTTACACTTAATGAGGTAAGCCCTTATTATCAAATAAACGTCTTGGTTCTCCTTTTGACAACCCTGGGTGTAGAGGCAGCCATGATCCTGGTGGACGAGAGGGGACTCCTGTAAGTAAATATTCTCGACCTTTGTTCCGGGATACAGTTAAGTTCCTTGGAAAGGTGTTGACTCTTTCAGGTGTTGTGGTTACATGAGAGCAGGGTGTATTTAGTCTAAGATTAACTGTGGTCCATTTCAGAGCCATGCCCCATCTTGTATTTTTCTCTGGCCCTCAAGAATTATGATGTTCCTGGCTCTGTATGAGTGTTGGAAACTGTTCTTCCCAATCCTTTGGGATGCTGCTTTTCCTGGCCGAGAGGAGTTACTCTCGCATGCTCTGGCCAGCACCCTGCTAAAGGCTCTGCTGGAGGATCTCTGGTGCCCTTCTTTGCACCTGTCTCTTCTCTAGTTTCCTGTCAGGGACACTGTAGCTTCCTCGACCCCCCTGTCCTTTGCTCCATCTCCTCCACTCAGCAAGGCTGCCAGGCTCTCCTGGGCCTCCCTCCTTGAGCCTTGGCTGAACACTTCCTAAGCCGTCGTGGGGGCAGCAGTAGGGCTACCTCATTTGCTTCCTTTCCCTCAGGGATCATTGTCGAGGGATGCCTTTGTTGCCCGAAGTCTAGTGTCCTGAGATGGTTCTTTCATTTCTTCTCTGTGTTTTCGGTTGTCTCAGGAAGGAGGCTAATCTGGCCCCTGTGACTCCATCTGGTCCAGAAGCTGAATTCCCAGAGAAGGTCGCAAATTTCTGTGTGGATATTTGGGACCTTATAAAATATCTATATCTTATATTCCACCAGGAGCCCTGAGACTTTCCGCTCCCATAAAGATTTATAGCCTCGGGAACCCAAAGGGGCAGTTCTAGACCACCCGACAGGGTCGCTCCGAATCAATAAACTTGATGGCCGCGATATGTTGTTGTTGCCTTGCTTGTTTGGTAGCTCTTTGAGGTGCATTTGAACTTGGACAGGATGTGCTCACCTGGGCCTCTTTTGGTTGCAGAGGAAAGTGGTCCCACATGGTCTGAGGAGCAGCCTGGCCACTCTTTCCAGGCGGGGGCTGTGTTGCTGAGCGAGGAGGCGTCCCCCCAAAGCCGGATGGGCCAGGACGTGTCAGCAGAAGAGGCCGATGCAGTGCTCAGGCTGGAAGGCGACGGCGATCACATGGTGATGTTGTCTGTGGTCCCGGGGGGAGCTGAGGACAAATGGAGCTCCGAGGCCGGCGGTGGCACCTGTGGGGCCGGAGGCGAGGAAGACTCGAGCTGCAAGCTCCGGGAGAGCCTCTTCTCTCTGGACAGCGCTGGGACGAGCTTCCCAGAGCGGGAGGAGGAGGATGACGCCGAGCGGGGAGCAGCGGAGTCTGAGCGCGTTCCGGCCGAGGAGACCAACAACACTGACAGTCTGAAGTCCCCGAAGGTGACCTGTGAGGAAAGAAATGTGACAGGATTCGAAAATCTTACCTTGAAAATTTTAAATATGTCCCAGGTCAGCAAACAGTGCCTTCCCTCCTTTTCTGCATGTACGGATCATTTCACGTTGCTGTCTCCTTTCCGGCTGAGGGTCACATCCTGGCTGGGCTGGAAGTGGAGCAGTCCTGAGTGGCTGCGTCGGTGAGAACAATGGTCCCAGCGCTCCACGGTGTTTGCTAGGGCAGGAGAGAGGCTAGCGAGGGTCCTGCCGGCTCCGGGGTTACGTGTTGGAGAAAGATGAGGCTTTCTACTCCCATAAAGATTTACAACCTCAGAAACCCAAACAGACAGCTCTACTCTGTCCTCTCGGGTCACTGGGGAGGGGGAGGGGGGGATTGACTCGATGGCAGTAGGTAGGTAAACATAGTCAACCTTGGGCAATCGCACCACAAAGCCTCGCAATAAAAATCCTGATGCACTGCGAGGTGCTTAGCATCAGAATCGTGGTCTTCAAATGAAGTACTTTTTACAGAGGCAGCTTCAAACTATCAAAAATAGTAACATTATCATTCAGGGTCCATGAGAAATATGTTAGATTGATGACAACTTCCTCTCTCCTCCAAAGCCAGTGTTTACACTGATGTAAGAGCTGAGGCAATTGTTCTCCACCTAGTCAGGCTTTTCCAGGTAGCTGGATAAAGGATGATCCCAAAGCGGGTGCTGGGGTACTGGGGCACTTCCATAGGGCTGTGAAGAAACCCTTCTGCAGAGAAGGATGGCTTCCAGCCTGCTCATGAAAGAAAGCTCTGACTGCTGATGGGAAGCGAGGATCTGGTGTGTAGTGTCCACAGCTGCCCACTAAGTGCCAGGTCAGGGCTGGCCTCACACTACCCCCATGCCTGGTAGTTACTGTGCCCCAGCTCTGCGGGACTGCTTGCTTGGTGTCGCCTACAGCGACCAGGCCAGAGCTCTTTAAACCATTTGGATTAGGGTGGTGGTAAGGACGGCGCAGTGCTGCATTGAACTAGCCTTCGGCCCAAGTATATCGATAGACTGCTTATTACAGACAGCAGCCCGCTGAGATGATGGTGGGGGTGTGCTGCTCCAGGGGGACTGTAGATTGAGTTCAACACACAATTCAGAGGCCAGGGGAGTGGTCTGTACCCTGTGAGTGCTCGGTGTGTAAATCGACCGATTATGAAAAATATTAAAAGAGGAAAGATTAGATGAAGGTTTATGACCTCTTCTTTGGTAGGACTTTTCTGCTGGCTCAGGATTTGTCTGGCTCAAAATCTGACTAAGTCTTAAAGCGTAAACTGTACAGGCTCCCTCTGATATCTGCCCACCCACCCACCCACCCGTTCCTCTCTCAGGAGGCAGTGGCGTTTCTGTTGGGTGTTGTGTTAGTTCAGGTTGACTAGGGAAATATCCAGAGACACTCCTGTATGTTAGAACTGTTTATCAAGAAGTAATTATGTAAAATGAGGACCTAATGTCGGGGGTTTAAATGGAGAGAAAATGTTTTGAGAAA